GCTTGGATACGGGCGGCTAGTGCTGCATCCTTGATCAGACCCAGTGCTCTCTCAGCTACACCGTTGTATTCTGGGCTGTGCGCGGGGGTGAACTCCTGTTTGATGCAGTACTTCCGGCACACCCTGCCGAACTCTCCCTCAAAGAACTCTCCTCCGTTGTCAGATCTCACGACCATGACATCGGACGGGGCACCGTCTGCCCGATTTTCTGCAACGCAGCTCTCGAATGCCTCAGCGGCGTCTGGTTTGTACTTCAGGAAATAGACACGGTTCNGTACTTCCGGCACACCTTGCCGAACTCTCCCTCAAAAACCTCTCCTCCATGGTCGGATCTCACGACCATGACATCGGACGGGGCACCGTCTGCCCGATTTTCTGCAACGCAGCTCTCGAATGCCTCAGCGGCGTCTGGTTTGTACTTCAGGAAATAGACACGGTTCCAATCATCCTTGACAATGAGAGTGTACCACTTTCCCCCCAAGCTCTGCACCCTAGCTTTTCCACTCAAATCCACGAAAACTCGCTGCAGTTTCTTAACTGCTCGGGTCGACGTTTTGTTGGGGATGGGCTTGGAAAGCCCCTTCGCCGTCGAGCACCCCAGGCACTCCCGGAGCTCGCCCACCAGCGTCGTCCCTTGCTGCTTCGCCGTGGTCCTCAGCAGCACCTCGTGGGAGTGGCCGTGCGCGCAGTGGAAATCGTTGATGTCAACGGGGGTGCTGGGCGCTTTCGCGTTGCCAGGAGCAATTGCGGCACAGGCATGTTCGGTGTGTGTGCGGAAACCGTTTTGGACGTACAGGTTACCGCATCGGGGGAAGTACACCACCTCCCCCCCCCCTCTCTCCAACTCCAACTCGTGTTTGTTGAGGGTTTTGGTTTCGAACCCGTCGTCGAAGAGGGAAGTGAGAGATACTAGGTTGTAGTCTAGTCGGGGGACGTGTGCAACCCGTTTCAACAACAGGTCGGTTGTACCGTCGCGCGAGCTAAGGGCTGTCTCTTATACACATCTAGATGTGTATAAGAGACAGCTCCCGGAGCTCGCCCACCAGCGTCGTCCCCTGCTGCTTCGCCGTGGTCCTCAGCAGCACCTCGTGTGAGTGGCCGTGCGCGCAGTGGAAGTCGTTGATGTCAACGGTGGTGCTGGGCGCTTTCGCGTTGCCAGGAGCAATTGCGGCA